CCTTGAAAGAGCAAGATGTGCACCTGCGGATCCTCGACTCAAATGTTCGGAACCGAGAGATATGAGCTGTGCTGGAGAGTGGATATAGGTTCTTACTCTTGAAATAAGGTGAGCAAGTATATTCGGATTCGAATTTGGTGAGGCCACTGCAAGGGAGAGAGCTGTTTGGTCCATGTTTCGCCCCATTATCTTCCTTGGTATTCGCGTGACACCCAAAGGCCTACTTGTGACCGGGCGTGCAGGAACGCGGAAAAGCCTCCCCGGAAATACGATTTGTACAGCGTCAGTGGGACCCTAGAAGTCAGCATCCGGTAGTGCACTTATGTCAAGCTCGAAGCAGGAGGAGCAGGTGGAGGAGGAGGAGGAGGAGGGGCAGGGGCAGGGAAGAGGGGCAAGGGGGAGGACGAGAAGCAGGGTCAGGAAGTTCGACCTTCTCGGGATTGTTGGCGGCAAGCAGACGCTCCGCAACGCTAGAAATGACTTTAGCCTAGGAAAACTCCAGGACCCTCTCTCGCCTCCACCTTAACCCCCTCGTCCTCCTCTCCTCCCTTTCTCTCCCCTACTTCCACTTCGTCTCCATTCTCTCTCCCTGTCCCTCAGGCGGTGAGCATGCCCTCCACTCGCCTCCCGATGCTCCTCAGCATCTCTCCTCTGCCTTCTCCTCCCCCATCTTCCTTCTCTCCCACCTTCCGTGCCGCTCGCCCTTCGACCCGTCCTTCTTGTATGCGTACTGACACCAACATCATCCACGAGCACATCAGTCGCTCGTCTCTACCTGCACTGAGATCGGTCTACCGCACAGATATTGTCCGTTCATCGCCTGCAACGGCGTCAAGTTTGTTTTACCCTCACCCACCTCCCCTACCTCGATCGCCATATCAGCAGCTTCGAAACAATCGTAGTTGACAAACGCAAACCCCTGCCCTTCCGTCACTCGATCCTCCTCCTCCTCCTCCTCCCTCACCTTCGACTGCCCGGTCTCAGGGTCGCGCATACACTTGGGCGTGTTGCCCACGATCACGCCGAAAGCAGAGAACGTATCGTACAGGAGCTTCTCATCTACCTCGGGCTCCAAATTTCCTATCCTGGCGTCAGCAGCAGCGCGAGCATGCCCGTCCTGAGAGCTCACCGATGAAAAGGTTCGCCCCAACATCGAGCACTTTGATCTCTCCGCTGGCTTTCTTGTTCAGTCGCAGCGGCTGCAGAGGATAGTCAGCCAACAACAAGCAGCAAGTCTTCGGACCTGTCCGTGTAGCTTTATCATGTTCATAATCTTGATCGCGTATTCGGCATCTTCCTCCGACCTGAACTCAACAAACCCGAAGCCGGAGTGCACGGTAGTGACTTTGTCCCTGGGTATGTGCACATTCACGACAGGCCCTGCCTGGAGGGAGGAGGTAAGAAGCCCTGCGCATGGAGCTGGGGCAGGATACCTGCAGGAACAGCTCCCACAGGATCTCCTCCGTGCACTTCTCAGTGATGTTCCCGACATAGATGGTCGCATCCTGATTCCTCTCCGGCACGTGCTGGGAAGAGGTGTACATCCTTCCTTAGGATGGTCTTGTCCCACACGCTGCAAGGTTACGGGGTAAGATCCACTGGCAGGACACACTGGGTCATTGCTGCCACCCATGCTCGAGACCTCCTACCTCCTCCACACACCACTCCCATCCTGCCTCCTGAACTTGTAGAATTGTCGCTTCCTCTGTTTATGTCTTGTAAACACCTCAGCCGTCCGAAAACTCTGAGCTCCCCTCCTCTCCCTCTGCCGTCCTCGTCTTCACCACCTCTGGCACATCATTTTCGTCCGTTTCCTCAACCTCTGCCCACCATCCGCTCCTCTCTTACTAGTTCCTCGTATTTTCTTCTCCTCCTCTCCCCTCCCCCGCCCCCGCCCCCCTCCCCTTCCTCCTCCTCCTCCCCCTCCCCTGCCAC